GGACTTTATTTGATATTTTGAAATGATGAGTTGGGAAATAAGGTATTTCTTCCATCAGGGTTTGGGACTGTCTCAATGTCTTACAGGGATGATATTGTTTGGTCTGCATTTCTTGAGATGTAGCTAGCAGAGCTCCTTACGGTGAGAGTTGAGTTGAACAAGACATGTTCCAGTAGTCCAAGACAGACTCTGGGATCCATTTACACAATATGTCACAAGAATGCATCAGGACATCCTATCTACTCAAGAGCACCTACCTAATGCCATAGATCAGCTAAGTAGAGTTCAGGAGCAGACACATACCTGAGACTCAGTAGTACAAGGGATCTCCCAACTAAAGAATCAGAAAGGAAAGGAGGAAGATGGCTTAAGAACAAGGAAGAGGTGAGGGGAAAAAAGGGAAAGAAAATGGGGAGAGGGAGAAAGCTGAGAAAGGAAATCAAAGAGGTAGGTAATCAAAGAATGGTGGCAGTGGGGTCACACAGCACTCCAATTTCCCAGAATTGACAGGATGGGAAAAATATACAACAAAATTCTGTTTGTTCTTTATGATTATCTCTTAAATAGCCTACATCTTTTGTCTCCTATTTCTCCTTCTTCATTCCACAACCGCCCCCCCCAACACCTTTTACTTTGTCTGATTCAGAAGTGGTGTTGCTTGTAATGATGCAGCAGGACACCTGACAGTGAGATGCAGCCACTCTCTCTCCATCCAGAACTTTCTCTCATCCATCCATTCTATTCCATACTCTTCCCTCCTGCCTGTCTCCCCTACACAACCTCTCCCACATATAATATCACCCCTGCCTGTAAAAGCATAAAATACCAGCAATCAAATATTAGCAGGACCTCTGAGGAGCAGGTTTGTCCCAGCTAAATGCTGCCTGATGGTGTTACAGTCCTTCCTGGGATTCTGAGAGTGTAACTGAATTTTCATTCCATGAGCTCGGCAGAAATTCAAACCTGGAAGAACCTTTCAAAATATGCAGGACAGTGATTTTTTCTGATCCTGGACTGGATTACGGGCTCTTCAAATTCTTCTAGGGAAGTATAGTTGAAAAACCAGTAAAGGTACATGTGGTTTTGCTGAGTGATAAATGAGACTTTTGTCAAAAGAGGCAGTCATAGCAATCAAATAGTTACTTACATGAAAGAGAGTACTTTTTCTAACTTCCCTTTGGTCTTTGTTAGAATGGATATTTATTGTATTTTGAGCCAACCAGATGAAATATTTCATTAGAATGGCTTTTAAAAATTGGTATATAAGATCCTCTAAATTAAAAATGTCTACTATAATTTTTAATATTTTAACAAGATACTATAGACACATCTTGAAATTTATCATCTAAAAATAAGATTTCATCAAAATACAGTTACTATTCTATTCTGGGCATTGATATACTATGTATTTACTATTTATGGCTCTCCAGACGTGGTAAATACTATACCAAAAAGTTTTCAACTTAACTATCGATAAGAATAGCTTCCTGTGAGAAAGAAATTTTGTGGAAAAAATAAAACTATGTGTTTGTTTGAAAAGTAACTCAGCTGAGGAACAACAAGACTTATCACAAAATCAGCGGTGGCAAGATAGATATATACAGATTTAAAGAGAATCACAGGAATATAAAGGAAACAATAGTTATAGACCCGCAAATCCTTTCTTTGGCAAAAACAAAAACCAAAGAAATCGTAACTTCAGTAAGTCGATATTATACATTGTTGTGAAACGCTGGACAATGAACAAGTTGAGCTGATGGCCTGGTGACTTTTCTCTGGGCTCAGTTCCTGTGAAGAGCTTCACAAATGGTCACAGTCTGACTTTTGGCCTAAGAACCAGGCAAAGCAATTTATGCTTTGGAGGAAGATAAAGGGGATGTTGATTTATTTGGACTTGAAATATAGGGAAAATAGGTATTAATATGGAATATTTCACTAATCAAAACCGCAGGGTAGCTTCAACCAAAAAGTTGTATTGGAGTGAGAGCGAAATCCTTTGGCTCCCACCACAAGACCTTTGGTCTTTGTACTGTCCTGGTTAGTCCCTTGCAGTCACACTTGATGCTATTAAGAATCCTATAACCCGGCCTCTTCTTGGCTAGGCCTGAATTCTCTGTAGTGCACTGACTCATTGTAATGTAAGCCTAGTTTGGCCACCTATTTGCTTCCTAGAATGGAAGTATCACAACATTCCACTGCCCTCCTTAAACCACCTTCTTCCCTGCCCCCTATTCCTTGAAGGATGTCCTTTATCAACCATCAGCTTTTCAGCATATTATTTACTACCAGTGGTCCTCACCCTCTTTCTTCTTTCATTGTCCCTGTCCACACCCAGGTTCTGCTCCTCTGCCTCCCTAGGTCCTGCCATTCCTCATGCTGACAGGCCCTCCAAAGCAGAGCATCATCTTCTCCAGATGACTTTCTGTTGCATTAAAGATTTTACTCTTGTTCTAAGCCTTTTCCTGCAGAGCCTTAATCCTCCGGAAGAGTCCTCTGTTGATCAAATAAATGAATCCCTCTGCTAGTGGTCATGGTTAGATTGGTGGCTTTTCCTAGAAGTGGATATTTATATTGTAGTAAAGTTTGGATTGTTTTTGGATACCTAGTGCCTTAGTCAAAATGAATTTTGACCAAATAGCAGAAATTCAGGCATTGTGGAGTAGGTGAGAGATTCCAAGTCCTAATTTTAGTCAGAAAATATGGATGGGATCTAAAGTGTCTGTAGGTTGACTGCCCCTTTATCTTTCCTGTATTGCTTAGGATTGCTGTTGTTAAGGTGCCTCTCCTCATTGTATAAAGACCACTATTTCAAGCACTTTTATGTAAAGCATACATATCCTTCTTTAAGCAACTGCTTAGAATTTTAATATTTCAAGATTCAGTTCATAGATTTCAACCAGACTGTGCCTTCATAATTTTCATAATTTTGGAGGACTCCAGACGTCTGAAAGGTGAGAGTGAGTGTCTAAGTCACACACAGCTTTCATTCATTCATGTTCTTGAGTTTTTTTTTGGGGGGTGGGCGTGTTCTCTAAACTTCAGCCTCGTGACAGTCAAATGATCAGAAAGTAATATAAACTAGCTATTTGAGATTTGCTTTTATACTGAATTAAGAATCATTTCATTTCTCGATTTTTGTGAATGTTAAATAAAAACCACGACTTGAAACATCTGACATCTTTCAAAACTTTATCTTGAAGCAGTTGTCTATGACAGTGACCATTTTCTAAGAGAACTTGAGTAATGAATTTAACTTTAAATTAAATTTCAGGCAAAGTTTCCGTTTCCATACTAATATCTCTACTTCTTATCATTTTATAACAAATATCTATAGCTCAGTATATTTCATTTTGCCCCACTGTTATGATATCTGTAATTTGTGCTTGAATATATACAACATGATACTATGCATGTTTTTCTTGAGTTAACTGATAAGCTTACATTCTAAACTGGATGTGCACTGTGGGGATCCTCAGGGGGAGCTCTAACCAGAAAGCCCATCTTCTAGAGGTAGTTACTACTAAGCTTTCCCACTTCGCATAATGAATTTCAGATATGGATTTTTAATTGGAGAAATTAGAGACCTGCCAAGTAGCATGATTAATATTAGAAGAGTTCTCATTGACAAAATTAAAGCAATCCAAGCTAAATTAAATGACTAATGATATTTAAAAAGATGTCCCTTGCCCTTGCATGAATAGCGCATAAGAATCCATACACTTACTCTTCAGAATAATGCTTTAGATTAAATCCCTAAATGGATTTAATCTGATGTCCAGCTGTGAACTGGAGTATTCTGGCTGTCTGATGCCTGCAACAAAGAATCTTGCCTTTTACAATTTGACATTTGCTTTCAATGAAAAAAGAAATTTTCTTTTTCATGCAAAATGGTGGTTGGTGCACCTAAAAGGAAAGAGAGTTGGTAGCTCCCCAAGTTTAAAAAAAAAAAGTTATGAATGGTTTTGGGGCTTGCTTTCTAATAAAAATTTAGTTAAAAAGTTTTAACTTGGCCTGACTTTGTTTCCTTATAAACTGATGGACAGATTACAGAGTAGGAATGAACTTGAACTTCTCCAATGGTTATTATCTATCAAAGAAGCTGAGAGTTGTGATTAATGAAATAGATTTGGGTCAGTTTGCAGTATTCAGTTATTAGGGAGTTTAGAGAGAGTTTCTGAACATTTAAAATCTGAACTCCTTGGTGTCTTGGCTAACTGTTCCTTTACTTTGCAAGAATGATCTTCATTTCTCTTGCTGTTGTTATGTGTCAACGAATTGGTTCTGATTCTTAGCGACCCTGTGTTTTTTTGTTTTGTTTTTGAGAGCAGCTGGTGGGCTTGAATTGCTAACCTTGGAGTTCGCAGCCCCACATCAGGAATTGACTTATTAAGTGTGTACTTTAATCTTACACATCTCAAATCTATTTTTAAAGTAGATATAGTACAAAACTTAAATGAATAATGGAAAAATAATAAAACATTCTTATTAGTTTCTTTGGGGAAGAGCCCATGGCTTTTCTCTTCATTGTGCCTTATCTTGAAGTATCAGACAAACTTGTGCTAATGAAAGCCAAATGCATTGCTAAAGGGGTGCATGGCAGAGGGATGGAAAGGTGGAAAATAGTGCCTGAGGTTTGTTTCTAATTGGCAATATTTCAATACCACTATCAAGGCTGCAACTACAATTGATCCTCCATTCTGAATAGAAATATTCCATTTGGCCTCACCAAGAAGAGACAGATAATTCAACTGCACTTATACCTTTTGGTGCGACAGACAGAGTTCTTCATACTAGCAATCTGGGGAGTAGCCATCTGAGAAACAGCATATTCCTAATTCAAGTTTAGTTGCGTCTTCAAACATTTGAGCATTTGTATGTTTCTGGAACACCAAAGGAAAATGAAAGCAAAGAACTGATCAATATCATCAAGTCGTTCCAATACAGGGCCCTCGCTTTCTCCAGTGTTTCACTCTGGTCGAATAGCAAAGGAGTCTAATGATTTATAGAGTTAGTCGAAACTGATCTTGCTCTGGTGGTTTCCTCACCCAGGTGCCCAGGCCAGCTTTCTGAAATGCTTTAAGCAGCTGCTGTTTAACAGACTGGTAGGTATAAGCTCCTAGCTTGGCTTCACAGTACATTGATGGCATGTCTCCATGGCTTGGTGTCCGTGTGCTCAGCTGTGGAACAGAAACAAGAAAGAACAAATAAATGATCCGGCAGAAATAGGAGGCTTTCTCAGATGAATCACACCACCATATAAATTTTATAAACAAAACATTAGCTCTTGGTGATATGCCTTTTCTTTTCTGTCTGTTTTCCTTTAAACAACAACAAAAAACCCCCCAATGCTATATATAGAGTGACTGTTGTATTTATTAAGTTCTAACATGCAATTCTGTGGAAAGCCTGGTTGTTAAAGAGACATTTGCTTAACCAGATGTGTGAATGGTTAACATCCACAATATAAGCATCTACCTTGTCTGTTATTAGAATTAGAAACACTGTGTGTGTAGGTGTGACCTTCTGGAAAAAGACTAAGTGACAAATAGGTTAAGGATGGGTAGGGTGGGAGGAGAAGGCAAGAATAATTTTTGGAACTAAAACAGCATCATGTTGTTGAGAAGTGCTGTCCAGTCGATTCTGACCCATTGTGACCCTGTATAGGGTTTCCAAGGAACAGCTAGTGAGCTTGAACTACCCAACTTGCAGTTCAAATGACTTTGCAGTCTGATGCATTAGCCCATAGCGCCACATCAGGGCTCCAAAACAATATCATAGTAGGGGTGAATAAGAAAGATATTGAGTTGATATAGCTAGTCAATCAGGAAGGCAATAAAACTAGGATGTTTTCCCAGTCAAGTGTCTGAGTTACAATAGGCAAGGCTTTAGAATATAGCTAAAACCAAACCAAAAACTGGCCTTCAAGTCAACTTTGACTTACAGGGCAGAGTAGAATTGCCCCACAGTGTTCCCCAAACTGTAATATTTATGGATGCAGACTATCATCTATTTCTCCTGTGGAGCGGCTGGTAGATTTATGCTGTCGACCTTTCAGTTAACAGCCAGATGCTTAACCACTGCATCACCAGGCAGCCGAAGGTAGACATCAAATATTGCTTCAGTTCAGCACTCAGCAGAGAGGTGAAGGGTTTGCTGGCAAGTGAGGTGAGGGAAGGCAGGGGAGGCTCTTTGACTCATACTGAAGGATCTTGAAGGATCTTCCAGAGACAATTTTGGAAGTCAAGTTGCCCACCCACAGGCTGATACCATCTTGAGCATATGTGAAAGAAGAAAACCCCTTTTGTTTAGATGGAAAAAATCGATGACTTCTTCTGACCTACCAGTCTTAGCACAGACTGCGCTGAATGAATAGAATAAACGCAACATAGGCGGTAACCTACAGCAGAGTTGAGAGCGGCTGAGGTATTGCAGTTCCAGCTTTAGGTGGCTGGCTGTAGACATGCAGACATGCAGACACGTAGACATGCAGACATGTAGCCATGTAGAATTACAACAGATTGTGACAGAGTGGGGGTGGAGGTAGTAGTCCCTGTCAGCCAAAGAACTATGATGTGCAATTTTCAGTGGCCTCTAAATTTGTAAAAATGTCTACCTTAAGTGCCAGTCCTATTCTACTTGTTCATAAATCAACCACAACATGATGACTATGTGTTGTCATTTTTGCTATTGTTAACTGCCATCAAGTAGGGCTTCCAACTCATGGTGACCCCATACACAATGGAACAAAAGTGCTGCTTGGCCCTGCTCCAGCCCCATGGTCAGTTGCCCATTGAACTACTGTGATCAGTCATATTTGCATTGGTTGAGTTTTGGAAGTAGATCACCAGGCCTTTCTTCTTAGTTCTTCTTAGTCTGGAAGTTCTGCTGTAACCTATTCAGCATCCTAGCAACACATAAGCCTCCTCTGACATTTAGATGATCACCACACATGAGTGAATTGGCTGGGAGTCAGGGGAGAACTCTGCCACTGAGTCACCCATGCCCCCATTTGCAGGCATTGCCTGGATAAAGAAGTGTAGGAAAAAGAGCAAAGTATTCTGTTTGTTTGTTTTTTGTATTCTATTTTTTTTGTTCTGGTGTGGTGCTGCAGGATAAGCATTGGGCTGCTAACCACAAGGTCAGTGGTTCAACTCTACCATCCACTCCTTGGAAGCCCTACATATACAGAGTTGCTATTAGTAGAAACGGACTCAACAGTACTTAACAACAACAACAACAATGACTGATGGCACAGTGGTTTAAGCACTGGGCTGTTAACTTCAAGGTTGGTAGTTCAAATCTACAAGTCGCTCCACAGATGAGGCTGTGAAAGATGAGGCTGGGCAGCTCAGAATCAGTAGCGTAGTGAGAAAAGTGTTAGTGTACTTCTAAAAAAGTATTAGAAATAAGTTCTACTTTCATCTCTGACACCAGTTTGTTTAATTTAGGGCTAATTACCTAGGTTTTCTGAGTATTCGTTTCCTTATCCTTTAACTGGGAATAATAACCACTCCAAAAATTTCTATGAGTATTTTCTTACGATACTGTATGTAAAGCCGTTAGCTTAGAGCCTGGAGCACATTAGGTAGGTACACACGAATTAGCTCTTTTTCTGCTTGATTTTCTAGAGACACGTTTCTTGGACTCTCACGTGTGTGCAGTCCCAGGTGAAGACACTGCTGGCATGTAGACCAGGCTTTGCTTACTGAAGCCTCTGAGTGTGAGTCTTCAGGGCCAGTTCTATTGGCCGGAGCATTTGGGGAAAAGACAACCAAAATCTGAGCTAGTTTTTGTGTCCTGTGCACCCTCACTGTAGAGCAAATGATAACTTCCTGCCAAACTCATAACCTGTGAGCTGCGTTCAGGACTTGCGCCTGGTTCAGCTGCATCCAATTTGTCTCTGGACAGGAACAGGTGTGACCTACCTTACCATAAAGTCTTGCCCACCGGGCAGAGAACACATGCTTGCAGAGTCTCGATGAGCCCCCACAGTCTCTCTTCCCTGTGGTAGCATTAATAATCTCCAGGTCTGCATTACCCACAATCCAGTTCACGCTGAAGGGGGTAGATTTTCCTGGCTGACGCGCTTCTGCATTACTCACTCCTGTCAGCAGAGAAATAGAAAGCAGCCAAGCATTAATATTCCTGGCCCCAAACAAGGCTCCTGTGAGACCAGCTAATGGGAAATAAAATCTGACTTGCTCTGGGAAAAGGCAGTCACATACAGATAGCCCTGTTTTTCCTATTTAAAACCTGGTCAGTTCATGCTGAGGTCACCATTTGACCTATAGGGATGGATGTTGAAAACTGAGCAAAACTATACTGACAATCTCTTGCTAGAAAACATTGCTGGGTTCTATTTGTAATCTCTTAATGTAAAAGGTTGTATGGGAAGGCTTGTAATAACAAAGCACTGCCCAGATTTTTTTCCCTTTTTATAACTACGTGGTGAGTGAATTACTGAACAAATGGAATCACATAAAAGCAAACTAAGAATATATGTTTACTAGGAGCTCTGGTAGCGTAGTGGTTACGAATTGGTCTATGTACCTCAGGGTCAGCAGTTCGAAACTACCAGTTGTTCTGTGGAAGAAAGATGAGGCTTTCTGCTCCCGTAAAGATTTACAGCCTCGGATACCCTGTACAGGGTCACTATGAGTAGGAACCGACTCCACGGCACATAACAACAACAACAACGTATTTGCCACACATCCATCTCTGCACAGGGCAAAGTCTCAGGACTCAGACTCTGAGGTTTATAGTTCAGATGAGGAGAAAACATTAATATACAAGAAAGAAGAGTGGGATAGGTGTAGGAAAAAGTTAGTCAAGAGATGTGATCCAGAAACACAACTAATTGAATACCTTACAAAATCCCAGTGCAGAAGGACCACCACCCTTCTGTTAGCTTGTGGTATAGTAGCATTTTGCATGTTGCTATGATTTTGGAAGCTATGCCACAAATATTTCAAATGCTAGCAGGGTCACCCACGGTAGGCAGGTTTCAGCAAAGCTTCCAGATTCAGACAGACTAGAAAGAAAGGTCTGGCAATCTACTGCTGAAAATTATTCAATGCAAGCCCTATGGATCACAGAATATTGTCCAAGAATTTGACTCACTCCCTGAGGATGCATCATCAGGAGGGAAACCCTGAACGCAGTGTGTTGAAACATGGCTGACACAGTGGAGTCAGATGAATCAGCAATCGTGAAGATGGTACAGGACCAGGCAATGGTGTTTTCTGTGGTATAATGAAGATGGTACAGGACCGAGCAATGGTATGTTCTGTGGTATATTGGCTTTGCCACAAGTTAGAGCCAACTCAGTGGCAACCAACAAGTACAAAAGAAAAATATGGGGACTCTCGTTCAAAACTTACTAAGTCTTGAGAAAACAACAGTGGAATATTAAACCAAGCACAGGGCTCTTCTAAGCACAGGATTGTATGCTCATTCAACTGGTCCTGCCCTGGAAATATTAAAAAACTTTTAGGGAAGTCCTTGTTCAAAGTATTTACCTCCTCGTTAGAGGCACATTCTGATTTTTAACTGGATCATCACAATCCTTACAGCTATAATAGGTTCAAAGGAAGTTCAGAAAATGGAGAAACCAGAGCATACCTATTTCAGGAAAACATTTGTTTTGGCAACTTGTGGGGTTGGCCACACGGTCTGTAACATATGACTTCAGCTACAGCCTGAACTTCTGCTCAGCTATCTAGCGATGATCCTAATTCTGATTCTGAATCTCTGGGTGACCATTGTGGGAGGAAGTCTGGCAACCTGTTGGGAGCCCCTGGGAGTAACCTCACCCTCCTTATGCTGTGATCTTGTCTTGAGAATTTGAAGCCATATAAGGTTCTAATGCTGCCGTGACTGACTGTCCCATTCTTCTTCCTCTCCTTTGAAGGTCAGGTTTGCAAATCTGTAACCTTCAGAGGGGGCAAAGCATCTGAAGCAAAATAAAGCTGCAGCAGTTTGGAGGCAAGAAGCAGTTTCCCAGGTGAAAACAAACCAGATGCTTTCAATATTCTGAACTTCCTCGTGGTAATTTCATACATAATATATATAACCCTAATACAGTCTAAGGGGGGCATGCCATATGTCCCCGTCTCTGCTCAGAGTCACATTGAAAGAAGTTCAGTCCAGCATGTCAAAGTCAGTAGAAGAACCCAATCTCTTATTTGTTCACTTAGAAGATACTACAGGATATTTATAACTAAGAAGCACTTGTCAGATGCAATTTTCAAGGTCTTGAATTCGCTCCCACCCTCACTGCTCCTCCAGGAAGAATCTTCCACCTAAACCCAGCCTAACTTGACTTTCTCTCTTCTTCTCCCCTTAAGTTCCATGTTATAAATATCAATTTAGCCATTATTATTATGGGTTGAATTGTGTTCCCACCAAATATGTGCTGAAGCCCTAACTCCTTTACCTGTAAATAGGACTCTGTCTGGAATAGAAGATTTCCTTTCGTTATGTGAATGATGCCATATGTGAATAGGGCGAACTCTAAAGCTAATCATTTTGGTTTTATAAAATGACCAGACTATACACAGAGACATGCATGGGGAAGACAGGATGGGGATAGATGCATCTACAAGCTCAAGAATGCCAAGGATTACCCCAGTTTCTAGAATCTGAAATAGATCTCAATATCCATGTCCTTCAGTTGAAATTCTAGTCTCCTGAACTGTGAGAAAATAAACTTCTGTTCTTTAAAGTCACCCATTTGTGGCATTTCTGCTTTGGCAGTCCTAGGTAACTGAGACGGTCTCTCTACCTCTGCTGTGATTCCTTTCTTCTTCTTTTTTTTGTAAAAGGGCTTTTTTTCATTGTATATTGAACATCAAATAGCATGCATGTGCTCTGACTGGGCATAGTTGGAAGCATGCTTATTGCATTGTATCGCTCCTCCATATCCTTACCCATTTGTGCTCAATTTACCATTCAATCTGATGTTGAGAAGTTTATTGCGAGCTCTGTAGATGAATATTTCAGTATTAAATTGCAGTAATATGCTCTCTTCCTCTTCATCTTCCTCTGACCTAATTTTGGTGATCTAGTAATACTTCCAATTTTGCTATGTTACTTTCATTCCCAAACCATAATAATCTCAATCCAAGCAGACTATGCTATTTGGTTTAGGAAGCCTTGTGGAGAACCTTCTCTTGGTTGAAATGGTGGTGTCCCCTGCTGCACATTCCAAGTAGGAGCCAGGAACTGACTTCCTGAGGGACTATATGCAGTTTAAAAAAATTTTTTTTTTAAATGTTTTATTGTGAATTATGTGATAGTTTACATGGGAGAACATTAGTTTTACATTCATCTTATCCTATATAATTTCATTGCCATGGTTACAATCCCCTCCATGCATCATCAACCAACCAAAGCGCATAAAGTCCCCAACTGCTCCATCTCTCCATGTCATCGTCTCTGCTTCCATCTCAGGCATCACTGCTTCTCTGGGTAGGGTCCTGCTCTCTGCTCCTCCCCCTTGATGGTCCCAGGGACCTCTGTTCCTAGACCACAAAGTTAATCACTCCCCTTCTTGCTACAAAACATCTACTTTTACATTTCCAACCCACACAATCAGTCCTGATAACAATTATTCATTATTGTACCACAAGAGACCTATCTGCATTTCATTTCATCAGCCCCACCTAGACAGATTGGATACTACTCAGTGGAGACTCTACCTTCCTCCATGCCCTCTGGATCTAGGTTCCCTCTTGAAAACTTGTAAGCCAGTCACTTCTTGCCTTCGTAGTCCCCTCACCCCCATTTTGTGTAGCCAATGTCCAAGTTGCCCATCCCTGTCTATTCTGTGTGTGGAGGGGGTGGGAATGATTCTTACAATAAGGATTTGTTCCCTCTTTTGAGCTACTGCATCCATAGCTGTAGGTCAACCTGCTTCCTTTCTTGTTAGCACTTCAGGGCTCTCTCTTCCTAGTCTCTCTCTCTCTCTCTTTTTTTTTGTCTGTCCCATTTTTCCAGTGATTGACACTGGGCAAGAACTGCACTGTGTGCTGTGAGAGAAAAGGAACATATGAAATCTTGTCAGCTATCAGATGTCATGTCAGGTGTTCTGTTCCCAATCAATGCACCCCATGCACAGCTACCACCCATATTTAAGTAGACATAAATGTGTTGCTATGATATTGAACAGGTTTCAGCAGTTTCTAGACTGATATGAACTAGAGAGAAAGGTCAGGTTATCTATTTCTAAAAATCAATGAAAGAAAACCCTGTGGATCACAATGGTTTCATTTGTAACGAGTCACGAGGATGGTACTTTGTTCCATTATGCGTAGGTCACTATGCGTTAGGGGCCAACTTCATGGCAGCTACAGCAGCAACATTCCTGAATTTAAGTGGTGGTTGTGGTTATGTGCTGTGGAGTCAGTTCCAACTCATAATGACCTTATACAGGGTTTCTGAGGCTGTAAATCTTTATAGGAGCAGAAAGCCTCATTTTTCTCCCATGGAATGGATGGAGTTTCGAACTGCTGATCTTGAGGTTAGCAGCTTGACTCATAACCACTACGCTACCAGAACTGCATGAATTTAACTGGAGTGCCTGGAAAAACAGAACTGGATGTCTTGACAAATAGAATGCATTTAGAAGGCCATCAGAAAGGATGTTCAAGGACCAGAGCAAATAGTAATTGTTTTTGAAGAAGTCCTGGTATTGATGCTGTAATCTAAGCACATGTGTACCTATTCCTTACTTACCAACGATCTCATTATCTGACATTTCACAGTATGGGAATAGTAAAAAAAAAA